TAGGCTGGAGTACCATTCGGTCAATTTTTATCAGGTGTTCCAGAAATTATGAAAATAGCAGTAATATAAAATTTAAAAAATTTTTTGTGTTATTTTTTTTTTAGAGTTAGGTTAGAATTTAGGGTTAGAGTTTATAATAAAATAGTATATGTGGATTTTAGTAAAGTTTATATTCTTAATTGAGACCCAAATTCTCAGCATCATCCCTGACATTAAATAATATAAATGTATATATTATATTTTATATAATTTTACTATACTATTTTTAGTAATTATAATAACTACTTGTAGGATGGGTAAAAATGGGAGATGATAGAGCCAACCTTCCTACGAAGCAAGTAACAGAAAAGAGAAAAATAACCTTTCACTACTGAATAGCAACCTTTAAATACACTGCATTAACATAAACGCCCTTCCATACTGCCTTACTTATTTCATATCTGGAACCTATATAATTAACTTTCCTTACTTCAATTCTCATGCCAATTTGATACTAAACAGTACGATCACCATTTTAACCAGGAAAATATTTGTATTTAATGAAACAACACAAACAATTATAGAAGGTTAAAACGACTATTGTGCATGTGACTTCATCTGATCTCACAATAATTATCGCTTTGTCACTTTGGCTAACAAGCTTTTCACTACCTTTAAGTAATCAGTTATATAGCATTGTTCATGAAATAATTTTATCACATGAGTGAATTTCTAAAATGCTGTCGTATCAGTGATTCGTGGTTGAGGATCGATTGATAACATAAAATATTGAGTATGGAATTTCATTTTATTTTTTGTCTTTAGAAAGCATTATACGGTACCCTATAAGAAAAGTGGTACGGTATGTCATGAGTTTGGTGTCGGAGATGCAGACGATACGTGAGGCACGTTTTATATGATGTTGTTTAGTATGACATGAAACCAGTGTTGATACGTAAATGACTCGTTAAAGAAACGAGAAATATTTGTGTATTTACGTGCCAATTAGACTAGTAAAACGCTACAAACCTGAATCACTTGCGGTCCAATTGGCACTGATATACGGCCAACATGAGCCACCAAATCGTACTAAACTCAAAAACTTTACGTACAAATGCGATTTGGTCCGTGCCACTATGGCACTTTTTCTTATAGGATAGTGTATCTAAATGCATTTATGTAAAAAAAAACCCCCCGGTAATGCAGTAATGGGTTATTTTTATTAAAGAAAAGACAAGACTTTTGCACATTTGATCAAAGGATTATCATATCAATGTCCCAAATTTATGCACTATTGGCGGCGACAAGGTTGCATGTGAAAAATCCAATCCGCACTCACACCCTTACACAATGCAAATATAAATCCAATCAATTGTAAGATTTGGTTGTGCGCCATTAAATCATTACATAACCGTATACTGTTATTAAGTATTCCTTTAGCATTGTTTATCTCGAGATTTTGATAATAATTAATGCAAAGGCTTATTTTTCAATTCCTATTTGTTAAATAAAATTAAATTTAAAAATCCAACGGTATTACTCATGTCAGTGGCTGTTTATAGTAAACAAATGCTTACTTGGAATCATTTTCGACGCCATATTTTCCACAATCATGGTAATGCCCAACAATATGTGCACCACTAGCGTGTCCCGTATCAACAGATTTACAATAATGAAAGAATGCCTCATGTCCATCCTTTTCAGCTCCAAATTCATATTCATCATAGTTATAAACCGCAGTTGTTCCAATGGTATCCTCCATCTCTGCTGATTCTTGATACTAATGAATACCTTAGGTTACGCTTTTCAACCCGTTTACCATAACAATTACAACTTGTAAAAATGGCCTGAACCATAAAATTGACTTTATTATATAAGCAAATTTTGAATTATCTGGAGTTTATGTTTATTTACTAGAAATTGTTCTAGCATGTCTATAATTGAATAGAGATTTTGTCTTTCAACCTTTCTTAATTATAAAGATTAAACATTTCTTTAGCTATTTCATTAAGAAAATCCAAACCATTCCATAAACATCCCCAATGCTAATTTTTGACAATAAATAAATGCCTTATGTCATCATTTTCAATTTCAGTTCATTAAAATAACAATCTTCAATATTATGTATTTTACAAGCATCTCCATCTCTGCTAATGTTTGATAACAAATAATTACATTAAGATAGCAGTTAATTCATGGTTTTTAACTTAGATGATATCATGATTCTTTTTTTATTTTTTTTAGCTAATTAGATCTTTAAAGATCAAATTTATTTATGAAATTACAATAATAATGAAATGATCGTTTTATAAAATAAATTATTAAATTGTTTCGAATTTATAGAATTTAAAAATCAGTATATAGTATATATAAAGTTAATATAATATAAATAATTGCCAAGATAAAATAAAAAGTAAATGAATTTATTAACATTTTGAGTTAAATGAACATCCTATGCTTGATTCATCACAAGAACATCCGAACAAACCCACCCACCATTCCGGATTCTTATTAAATAAACCCATAACGAACAATAGAAGTCCTACTATTAAACCCCAAAAAGAAAACCAACCATGTAATATTGAAGGGTCGGTTAGGTCTTTTTCTCCTTTCAATTGCCATAAATATGCTAAAATGCTATTAAATGACCATATTGCACAGATTGTCGTGACATACTTGCTTCGACAAGCGTATCCGATCGGCGGTGTGAAGTAGGCTAAAAATAATGTAAGCCAAGGAAGACCTATTGATATAAAAGCGATCACTGTACCGGTAACACGTTTATGTCTTCTAAGATTCGGGTTATTTTCCA